TTAGAGCGCGGTGGCTCTTATGTTATTACGCAGCGCACCGTGGTCGCCCCTTGCACGTGTGGCCGCGCTGCCTGGATTGCGTAATTTGCCGGTGACCGGCGCTATGGCTGTCCTGCATGTGTGGCCCTTGTCTGTGTTTATGGCACAACTCGCCCGTGAAGAGCGCGACGCTTACCTGGCTCGTGGGGCCGGTCTGCGTTATGGCGCTATTCGCCAGCGAGTTGTGTCATCTGGGTAACCTGGGGCAGGCGGAGGCGGCTCCAGCCGTATCGGGTGCGCTGCGGCCTTTTTGGCAGCTGGGTTGCTTTTGGGGAAAGGGGGCACACTGCATGTGAGAAAATACGGCACGAGGTCTGTCTCCGCCGAGCCCTGCGGTGGCATCTTACCTGCTGATGGGAAGTGCCGTCTTTACTCGAATCCAAGACTAGGTTTCCCACCACCAATCATCGTGGGGGGGCACCCTTCATCTGGGGCAGGGGGCTGCACTTGATCTTCAAGGTCCCTTCCAGCCCTAATGTCTATGAAATATTAGATTAATGTGCGCGGGTCTGGGGGAGGCAGCTGCTGTGGTGCTGACTGGTGCTGAGCAACTGGCATGGAAGTGGTGTCCCCTGCCAGGCTGATCAGCAGCTCCAGCAGTGCTGCACGGCCTAGCAAGGGCTGAGCTGGCACGTGCTGTGCTCCGGGAGGGACCGCCCCGAGCAGCGTCTGCCAGCAAGGTGGAGGGAAGAGGCAAAGGCTTTGGAGAGCAAGGGGGGGAAGAGGCAGAGACTGTAGGGAGTCGAGGCAGAGGCTGTGGGGAACTGGGGGTAGTCATGCCGAAGGGGAGTGGGGGCTGGAAAGCTGCTTGGCGAATGAGTGGGGGGGTGTCACCTGACCTGCCCCCCAGCCACTATTTTCCTTGCTGTAGTTGGCAGGGACATATTTAAGACAACCCTCCGATTCTGTACCTTGAACATTATAACAAATTTATACATGTTCCATCTATAGAATCTAATTATAGGGAGGAGGGGGGTCTCTTAAATTCAGGGTTGTCTTAGATTCGAGTAAATACGGTCAATGACCTGGAAGTATCGGGCCCCTTGTAGGAGTCTCTAATCAGATTCACGTTGCTCTCTCGTAGACTATGCCCTCTCTGCTTCATTCATGCTTGTTGTAAAAGGCTGCATAAAGGAATGTGACAAATGTTATTTATGTTGCAGTAACACCCCAAATGTGCTAGCAAACGTACAAGACGGCGTGGCTTCTGCTGCTAAGAATTCACAGTGTAGAAATGAAGCGACCGCTGAAGGGTAAGGGGGGAGGATAAAGCATAACACAAAAGTTCTGTTCTTGTCCTGCCCTCACCAAATGCCCCTTAACCCCTCCTGCGTTTGTTGGTTAATATTTTGCAGGAAGAGTCTTTTGCAGGAAGAGCCTTTCAAGGGTACGAGTGGGTGAAGTGGGCACAGTGGATATCAAAAGCTGTGTCATATACAAAAGGTTGTACGTATGGGTACTGGGAAGCAAAGAGGGACGCTACTTGAGTCAGTTTCTCAGCTGGGTGCTGCACCCTCCTGGGGTGTCATGAGACTGTCTCACAGATACTACGGCAGCCAGGTGGAACTGGCCCATGCACTGCAGCATGTGGTCACATTAACCCAAAGTAGGCAGCAGCGCCCATTCTTGTTGCAGCCATTCTTGATCAGAGCTCCTCCTGCCTCCCCCCTGACCCCCCATGCTCCTCCCAGAGGCATGTAGAACAGTTCTCTTTTGTTGCTGTGAGGAGAAAGTCTGCCTGCTTTAGATTCCTCTGGCTGTGCACTGAGGTTCATAGATATTAAGGTTGGAAGGGACCTCAGCAGATCATTGAGCCTGACCCCA